TTTGTTGTTGGCTGATGTGACCTTCCTCGTTGGAGATCAAAGGGAGACAATCCAGGCTCACAAGTTTATTTTAGTCAGCCGTAGCTGTGTGTTTCACACGATGTTCTGTGGATCGATCCCCGAGACGGGCCAAGTACTGATTCCTGATATACAGACAGACAACTTCAAGACCTTTTTGAGGTTAGTTGAGATGTTCAGATAACACATGTATAACTAATTCTGCGTTCTGACTTGTAAGAACATCATTCAGTCGTTCCGATATGTTGAGGTACTTTTACACTGATATACCATGGTTTCTGTACCAACCAGTAACAGCGTGTAATACCTGGTCATATAACATTATCAAAATACATCCGGGTGAGATTTTTTAATATAATATTAGCATTTCATCACCAGGTACCTCTACACGGGGGAGGTGGAGTTAACTCCAAACACTGTCCATGGTTTGATGTACGCTGCTAGGAAATACAACATAACAGGACTGGAAAAGCAATGTGAGGAGTTCTGCTTACAATCTTTGTCGCCTAGCAACGCATGTGTATTCCTTCAACAAGCAGACCTGTTTGATAAAGAAGACCTGAAAGAAAGAGCTCTTAAAGTCATTAAATCTAATGCCGAGGTGAGTGTTGCTAGCGAGGGATTCTGCGAGCTAAGCAAGGAATGTCTAAAGCTGATCCTGAAGGCAGATGACATGAGGGTTGACGAGATTTGCATCTTCCGATCTGTGATGTCGTGGGCGGAAGCTGAATGTAGACGTCACGGAAGGGAGGTAACTCCAGAAGAAAAAAGACAAGTGTTGGGAGAGTGTTTGTTTCTCATTCGCTTTCCAGATATTCCAGAGGTGAAATTTGCCACAACTGTCTGCAATAAAGGTATTTTAAGTGATAACCATATCATAATGTTATTTCGAAGATACTCTATAGGCGACCTGGATATACGGCCGTTCTGTGACAAATCTCGGAAATCTCCTGTCCAAGTTCGCTTTAAAGTAGAGTAAATGTCTACGTGATGCGTTATATATATCCTGTGATGCCAGCGTTCACCTGACCGGGCTGAGCGTGTATGCTGGGAAGCTGGCGGACAAGGTGTCTGTAGACACAGTTGTTACTGACAGTGATGACAAAACCCTGCTGAAGCACCACCAGTGCCTGGATGTGACAGAGGGACAACTCTCTGATGTGGTGATGTTTCCTTCACTTCTGTCTGTTATCAAAGGAAAGACGATAAAAATCAAAGTCACTAGGGAGGGCAATAAACATGATGTATATACGTGTATAATGAACAACCAGCCTTTGATGACACATGAAACATCAGGTGTTGTGTGGACACTGGAGCACTGTAAGCAGAGTACTTCTAATAACAGCCTAGAATATGGATTCATCCATAGGGTTTTCTACGAAGCGTAGTTTATTCACTCTCTTACTCTGATCCATATCAAGAGGTTCGGGTGATTGAGAGACAACATTCCTACCAACTATCTTTGTACACCAGTAATGTAATATGGAAAAAGTGAGTGAGTGAGTGTGGTTTTACGCCGCTTTTAGTAATATTCCAGCAATATCACGGCGGGGGACACCAGAAATGGGCTTCACACATTGTACCCATGTCGGCATTCGAACCCGGGTCTTCTGCGGGACGAGCAAACGCTTTAACCACTAGGCCCCAATATGGAAATAAGCTACTCCTGGGCATTGTTGGTCGTGCAATGAAACACTACAGGGAGAACAAACCAATCAAAGTCACTCGGAAGGGCAGTAACATGATGTATATACGTGTACGTTGAAAGCCCCATGAATGGTCTGGTGTTGTGTGGACACTCGAGCACTGTAAGCAGAGTACTTCAGACAACAGCCTAGAATATGGATTCCTCACTGGGGTTTTCTTCAACGTGTAGCGTATTTATATAAGGCGGCTGAGAGATAACTCTCCTTCCAACTCTTCCGTCTGTGTACGTCAGTAATGTTAACGGGTATACATCACGGACAGCAGCACATGAATGGTGCATATATTTGACCATTGATGCTTAAATCTTTTTCACACGAGTCAACATGAGGCAACATTACGTACATACCTACTGGTAGAAACAGGTTTCTAAGATCATATCATGTTGTGTATAGTATATAATTTTTACGTTTATGACAATAGTATCAACAGCTTGATGACATACCCTCAGTAGCAAGAAGTTGTTTCAATTGAAAGCATAAGCTGATACTTGTTTTTTTAGCATTATTTATATAAAACAAAGAGTAACCATGTATTTTAACCAAACAGGTTATTGAGCTCATAGTAAAGGTTGACCAAAGGTTGACCTGTGATTGATTAGCTTGGCCACTGTGTTGGAATACGTTTGTGACCAGGATCAGGAATGTGTCCGATTTGAGGAGTTGAGTATTCGCCTCTTTGCTTTGCACATATATGTTAGTTTGACAGATTATATTTGTCAATTGTGTAAATATTGAGTAATTGTATGTTTTGGTTATAATTACATGTTCTTAATAGTTAAACTGAGTTGGGTCTTTCCTTTTTGTCACTTGAAACACTGTGTCACTCGTAACATACTGATTGCATGTGAGTGAGTGAGTGAGTGAGTGAGTGAGTGAGTATGGTTTTACGTCGCTTTTAGCAATATTAAAGCCATATCAAGGCGGGGACACCAGAAATGGGCTTCAAAAAATGTCTACATGTCGGGAATCAAACCCGGGTCTTCGGCGTGATGAGCGAACGCTTTAACCAGTAGGCTACCCGACCGTACCTGATTGCATGTCAGTGTATGTACTTGTAGCTAAGGCCAATGATTGAATCAGACGAATATTGTGTATATGAGCTACAGATTCATATAGATTAAAGAGAACTACAGAGTAGTGCATTCAGCGATATATGGTCTTGACTAGACCCGCCCTCTAACTTGAGTCTCTGAACGTGAACTGCACTGTCCAAACACTTCTGAGATGATAAGCAACGCAATGAACCATCAAAAAGGGTTAACATCATTACCAAACAACATAACATACCGTTAATCAGCCTCAGAACTTTTAATATATTTTTGTGGGTCTTGTTTGTAATTGGCAGACAGTAAATTCTCTTCCCCACCCACAAAATAGACACAAATATCAAACACACACTGTACGGCCCTTGCATTACAAGCCGAAGGCCTTTGATTGTCTACACAATACACATTTCAATGTCTATGGTATTCCTCCAGGAACCGACAAACCATCTCAGATCTCTTGCTCCAACGTCACAGTGACATGCATCTTACTGTAAGATGAATACTGTATATGGCGGGGAACACTTGATGCCCTGCATCAATCTCTGCTTGTTACAATCAGGAGCGACTTTTGGGTGTAGGTTCTAACAAAGGTATCATGGCTGCCTAAAAGTCGGGCCGGGCCTAGACGTTAATATTGGCTAATTACTCAATTATCGACGACAATACGTACATATTATTGATTCAGGATATACACATAACATTAATCAAAAATCACAAACCACAAACGTGTAACATAGTTTAGTTACTGCGACTAAAACGCTTGGAAATCAGGAAGTCGAGCGGTCGGTGAGAGTGGCTGAGCTAGGTAACATGAAAAAGAAGAATCGTTAAACGAAATAGGATTTGAAACATCAAATACTTTCAACTACAGTGATATGCATTTCCATCTATCCGATAAAGATGAATCTAACTTTATACGACATTAAAACGACATAATACACGGCATTAAGCTCATATGAGCAAGGACGTAAAAGAAAGCCATTTCATTTTCTGTCACATCTCAGAGCATTCAGATGGGAATCTCAAGTGTTCGGTCTGACTTGGCCAGGACGGTTAAAACCAATTGAAACTCAAAAGATGTACCATGAAATATGATAAGATCTACAGAACAAAATTTAATCTACCAAGTTACTACTTTAAATCCTATATAAAAAGGACTCGTTCGTCAAAGTGAAACCTTATCTCCTTTAAACTCTCAAAATAGCCTCCACAGTGTTTCGCATAAAAATCAACTTACACGTTACCTAATTGCCACTTCATAGTGTCACAGATCGTGACATTTAAATTACAGACATTAGTTATGTTAATTCTGAACAATACCCCAAATCACAAGTTTTTGGTCCAACCTGCCTTGTACCGTTAAAAACATCGACATCCTCACAGATCTATCACTAAATGTGTTTTCATCGCCACATGTGTAACAGCCAGACTCATTCATCACAACTCGCCCCTTTCCGTAACCTGCAAGAAGACTCGTCCCCTAATCGATGAATGTTATGTGCGAAAATACGACAAATCAATCAGATTGCGTGTATGATTTCAAATGCTTCGTCAAAGAATCCCTCAGAAATAATTTTTGATTTTACATATGTCTTGCATCTAAAAATATACATAAGACACAGTTAAATCTGCTCAATCATACTGTATAGTTCCGCATGTCCAGATGTGCTTTAAATTGCATCTGAAATATATATAATATATGAGGAAAGATATGTGAACCATAATGCAACGAGTTGACAATTGTTTAAGATATGCCCGTTTGTGCTAAGACGGAACCCAGTCGCAAAAATGGCCAAGAGAGGGGCACGAGTCGCTATTCGGTTTGTCCCGGAAAAACACGAGTTGGTCACGAATGAGCCAGACTGTGACTAAAACAAGACTAAAGCTGTCAGTCCTCTCTCAAAATGCCTGGTAGACTATCCCTTCTGGTCACATCATGAAATGGTTAAGCGGTTTCCAAAAGTAATAATTAAGAAAGAAAAAATAAAAGTGTCCTACACATCTTTTATTTACAGACACCTATGTTACAGTTAGACGTGTATCACTGGCTGATAGTCTTTCACTGAAGTAATTATTTCTTGTCGCAGTTTAAGCTATGGTGACAGCGGCTGTTTCAGTTTGACCTTAGAGCACTTTTTGTACCGCAATTTTGAGCCAGGCCTGACAAGCCTTGTCCACCACGGGTGCCCTTGCTGATGTCTGATTCAGTAAGAATGTTCCGTGAGCAAATGCCAAATTGGTGTCTTGAGTAGGTACCAATAAGGATACCACATTTCGTAACAACAGTGTACTGATCATTATCCCTTGTGCACCTGTAACTTAACACACAGATGTCAGATGGAGTTGAATGATTCGGAAATGCGTGTATATTTTAGATTCAGCTACAATAAGATATATACACTATTGTCCATCGTGCAGGTGAATGCGGAGCATATCTGTGCTACAGTAGACGAAGCCAGGATACATAAAGTGCCACATATCCTGGCCCCACAACTCCTCTCCAAACACAGGAGAGACTGTGTCAGTGTTGATATGAGAGGAGCACACTGTAAACGTGCGCTCGACAGCCTTTGTATTTCAGTGAGACTGTAGATGTCACGTGACTTCAACCAGGACGCAAGACGTGTCGTGTGGTCTTGAGGGTGTTACACATACAGGTAAAACAACCTGTCGTATATTTACATCAGTGATTGCATATCGTGAAGTGTTTCAGGGACATGTACATACTAGTCTCGTGTTCACCTAGACGCAGCTCATTTAGTCTGCAGGTCACTTTTATCAGTTAGTACTGATGAACGGAGTGGCAAATCGAAACTTGAAGTTCTGATGTCTGTCCCTGATTATCTCCCTTTTGTGTTCGCCTCACAGCAATAGCGGAGCTCTCTATATTTTTGTATACTGTCGCTGCCACCAGTTACAGCTCACTACTAGGACACGGGACAACCATGCAGGGAGTTAAACTACCGACATTATTGGTGACGTCGAATACTCTTCCCCAGCTAAATACTTTTCTTTGTGTGTCAATTTGAATTTCTATTTCATTTCCACTATCATGTAATTGGTGTGGTAAGAATGTAAGGGGGAGTGCTAAACCTTTTCAAAATTCATTATGGTATGGAATTCCAAATTTACAGTCATTCACAAGAGGGCCAATTTCAAGATTATTGTTATAGCCGTTACCAAACTGGTGACCGATTTTACTGGGAGTGTAAAGAGAGGGTGTCACACACTGGGAAGGAGCTTGTTCGTAACAGGCGATCAGACTCATCGTTTGTTTTTGTTGTTCAATACCGTATTTAGCAATATTAAAAACATATGACGACAGCCTGTAAATAATGAGACGGGACCAGATAATGCTCTGATTGATCTTGTGAGCAACGATCCACGCGGTCGGGGTACGACTACACGCAAAATCACATAGCTTGAACACCCTATTATTTCACACGCTTGCTTGGATCGTAGCCACACTACGTAGGTTCAGTGAGGTCTTTTATATAGGGGGGTGTTACAAGATACGTGCTAGTCGTATGTTAGCTTCAATTTACTTTCCTTAAAGTGCGAATTACAATGTAAGCATAATCATATTTACTCATTCTTAATGGAAGCAACATAATGGGCCAGTGATATGTATCTTAGCAACAGCTGAATCATTATGGACCGTAATAATTAGAGTGAGTGAGTGACATGTTAATGTGGGTGGAGTGAATGATATATTAGTGTGGGTGGAGTTAGTGAGTGATATCTTAGTGTGGGTGGAGTGAGTGAGTGACATCGTAGCGTAGGTGGAATGAGTGAGTGACATCTTAGTGTGGTTGGAGTAAGTGATATCTTGGTGTGGGTGGAGTGAGTGAGTGATATCTTTGCGTTGGTGGAATGATTGAGCGACATCTTAATGTGGGTGGAGTTAGTAAGTGACATCTTAGTGACATCTTAGTGTGGGTGGAGTGAGTGAGTGACTTCTTATTGTGGCAGGAGTGAGTGACATCTTAGTATGGGTGGAGTGAGTGACATATTAGTGTGGGTGGAGTCAGTGAGTGACTTCTTATTGTGGCAGGAGTGAGTAACATCTTAGTATGGGTGGAGTGAGTGACATCTCAGTGTGTATGGAGTGAGTGAGTGACATCTTAGTGTGTGGAGTGAGTGAGTGACATCTTAGTGTGTGGAGTGAGTGAGTGACATCTTAGTGTGGGGGTAATGAGTGAGTGAGTGACATCTTAGTTTGGGTGGAGTGAGTGAGTGACATCTTAGTGTGTGTGGAGTGAGTGACTGACATCTTAGTGTGGGTGGAGTGAGTGACATCTTAGTGTGTGTGGAGTGAGTGACTGACATCTTAGTGTGGGTGAAGTGAGTGACATCTTAGTGTGTGTGGAGTGAGTGTGTGAGTGACATCTTAGTGTGTGTGGAGTGAGTGAGTGACATCTTAGTGTGTGTGGAGTGAGTGACATCTTAGTGTGGGTGGAGTGAGTGACATCTTCGTGTGGGTTGAGTGAGTGACATCATAGTGTGGGTGGAGTGAGTGACATCTTTGCGTGGGTGGATTGAGTGAGTGACATCTTAGCGTGGATGGATTGAGTGAGTGACATCTTAGCGTTGGTGGATTGAGTGAGTGATATCTTAGCGCTGGTGGAGTGAGTGGCATCTTAGCGTGGGTGGAGTGAGTGACATCTTAGTGTGGTTGGAGTGAGTGACATCTTAGTGTGTGGAGTGAGTGAGTTACATCTTAGTGTGTGTGGAGTGAGTGAGTGACATCTTAGTGTGTGTGGAGTGAGTGTGTGACATCTTAGTGTGGGTGGAGTGAGTGACATCTTAGTGTGGGTGGAGTGAGTGACATCTAATTCTTGAGTGAGTGAGTGACATCTTAGTGTGTATGGAGTGACTGACATCTTTGTGTGGGAGGAGTGAGTGACATCTTAGTGTGGGTGGAGTGAGTGACAACTTAGTGTGGGTGGAGTGAGTGACATCTTAGTGTGGATGGAGTGAGTGAGTGACTTCTTAGTGTGGCAGGAGTGAGTGACATCTTAGTATGGGTAGAGTGAGTGACATCTCAGTGTGTGTGGAGTGAGTGAGTGACATCTTAGTGTGTGGAGTAAGTGAGTGACATCTTAGTGTTGGGGTAGTGAGTGAGTGATATCTTAGTGTGTGTGGAGTGAGTGACTGACATCTTAGTGTGGGTGGAGTGAGTGACATCTTAGTGTGGGTGTAGTGAGTGACATCGTAGTGTGGGTGGAGTGAGTGACATCTTAGTGTTGGTGTAGTGAGTGAGTGACATCTTAGTGTTGGTGGAGTGAGTGACATCTTATTGTTGGTGGAATGAGTGACTGACATCTTAGTGTGGGTGGAGTAAGTGACATCTTAGTGTGGGTGGAGTGAGTGAGTGACATCTTAGTTTGGGTCGAGTGAGTGACATCTTAGTGAGGGTGGAGTGAGTGAGTCAGTGATATCTTAGTGTGTGTGAAGTGAGTGAGTGACATCTTAGTGTGTGTGGAGTGAGTGAGTGACATCTTAGTGTGGGTGGAGTGAGTGACATGTTAGTTTGGTTTGAGTGAGTGACATCTTAGTGTGTGGAGTTAGTGAGTTACATCTTAGTGTGTGTGGAGTGAGTGAGTGACATCTTAGTGTGTGTGGAGTGAGTGTGTGACATCTTAATGTGGGTGGAGTGAGTGACATCTTATTGTGGGTGGGGTGAGTGACATCTAATTCTTGAGTGAGTGAGTGACTTCGTAGTGTGTATGGAGTGAGTGACATCTTAGTGTGGGTGGAGTGAGTGAGTGGCATCTTAGTGTGGGTGGAGTGAGTGACATCTTAGTGTGTGTGTGGAGTGAGTGAGTGAGTGAGTGACATCTTAGTGTGTGTGGAGTGAGTGAGTGACATCTTAGTGTGTGCGGAGTGAGTTACATCGTAGTGTGGGTGGAGTGAGTGACATCTTAGTGTTGGTGTAGTGAGTGAGTGACATCTTAGTGTTGTTGGAGTGAGTGACATCTTATTGTTGGTGGAATGAGTGAGTGACATCTTAGTGTGGGTGGAGTGAGTGACATCTTTGTGTGTTTGAAGTGAGTGAGTGACATCTTAGTGTGGGAGGAGTGAGTGACATCTTAGTGTGGGTGGAGTGAGTGAGTGACATCTTAGTGTGGGTCGAGTGAGTGACATCTTAGTGAGGGTGGAGTGAGTGAGTCAGTGATATCTTAGTGTGTGTGAAGTGAGTGTGTGACATCTTAATGTGGGTGGAGTGAGTGACATCTTATTGTGGGTGGGGTGAGTGACATCTAATTCTTGAGTGAGTGAGTGACTTCGTAGTGTGTATGGAGTGAGTGACATCTTAGTGTGGGTGGAGTGAGTGAGTGGCATCTTAGTGTGGGTGGAGTGAGTGACATCTTAGTGTGTGTGGAGTGAGTGTGTGACATCTTAATGTGGGTGGAGTGAGTGACATCTTATTGTGGGTGGGGTGAGTGACATCTAATTCTTGAGTGAGTGAGTGACTTCGTAGTGTGTATGGAGTGAGTGACATCTTAGTGTGGGTGGAGTGAGTGAGTGGCATCTTAGTGTGGGTGGAGTGAGTGACATCTTAGTGTGTGTGGAGTGAGTGAGTGAGTGAGTGACATCTTAGTGTGTGTGGAGTGAGTGAGTGACATCTTAGTGTGTGCGGAGTGAGTTACATCGTAGTGTGGGTGGAGTGAGTGACATCTTAGTGTTGGTGTAGTGAGTGAGTGACATCTTAGTGTTGTTGGAGTGAGTGACATCTTATTGTTGGTGGAATGAGTGAGTGACATCTTAGTGTGGGTGGAGTGAGTGACATCTTTGTGTGTTTGAAGTGAGTGAGTGACATCTTAGTGTGGGAGGAGTGAGTGACATCTTAGTGTGGGTGGAGTGAGTGAGTGACATCTTAGTGTGGGTCGAGTGAGTGACATCTTAGTGAGGGTGGAGTGAGTGAGTCAGTGATATCTTAGTGTGTGTGAAGTGAGTGTGTGACATCTTAATGTGGGTGGAGTGAGTGACATCTTATTGTGGGTGGGGTGAGTGACATCTAATTCTTGAGTGAGTGAGTGACTTCGTAGTGTGTATGGAGTGAGTGACATCTTAGTGTGGGTGGAGTGAGTGAGTGGCATCTTAGTGTGGGTGGAGTGAGTGACATCTTAGTGTGTGTGGAGTGAGTGTGTGACATCTTAATGTGGGTGGAGTGAGTGACATCTTATTGTGGGTGGGGTGAGTGACATCTAATTCTTGAGTGAGTGAGTGACTTCGTAGTGTGTATGGAGTGAGTGACATCTTAGTGTGGGTGGAGTGAGTGAGTGGCATCTTAGTGTGGGTGGAGTGAGTGACATCTTAGTGTGTGTGGAAAGAGTGAGTGAGTGAGTGACATCTTAGTGTGTGTGGAGTGAGTGAGTGACATCTTAGTGTGGGTGGAGTGAGTGACATGTTAGTTTGGTTTGAGTGAGTGACATCTTAGTGTGTGGAGTTAGTGAGTTACATCTTAGTGTGTGTGGAGTGAGTGAGTGACATCTTAGTGTGTGTGGAGTGAGTGTGTGACATCTTAATGTGGGTGGAGTGAGTGACATCTTATTGTGGGTGGGGTGAGTGACATCTAATTCTTGAGTGAGTGAGTGACTTCGTAGTGTGTATGGAGTGAGTGACATCTTAGTGTGGGTGGAGTGAGTGAGTGGCATCTTAGTGTGGGTGGAGTGAGTGACATCTTAGTGTGTGTGGAGTGAGTGAGTGAGTGAGTGACATCTTAGTGTGTGTGGAGTGAGTGAGTGACATCTTAGTGTGTGCGGAGTGAGTTACATCGTAGTGTGGGTGGAGTGAGTGACATCTTAGTGTTGGTGTAGTGAGTGAGTGCCATCTTAGTGTTGTTGGAGTGAGTGACATCTTATTGTTGGTGGAATGAGTGAGTGACATCTTAGTGTGGGTGGAGTGAGTGACATCTTTGTGTGTTTGAAGTGAGTGAGTGACATCTTAGTGTGGGAGGAGTGAGTGACATCTTAGTGTGGGTGGAGTGAGTGAGTGACATCTTAGTGTGGGTCGAGTGAGTGACATCTTAGTGAGGGTGGAGTGAGTGAGTCAGTGATATCTTAGTGTGTGTGAAGTGAGTGAGTGACATCTTAGTGTGTGTGGAGTGAGTGAGTGACATCTTAGTGTGGGTGGAGTGAGTGACATGTTAGTGTGGGTGGAATGAGTGATATCTTAGTTTTTGTGGAGTGAGTGAGTTGTATCTTAGTGTTGGTGGAGTGAGTGAGTGACATCTTTGCGTGAGTGGATTGAGTGAGTGCTATCTTAGCGTGGGTGGAGTGAGTGCTATCTTAGCGTGGGTGGAATGAGTGACATCTTAGCGTGGATGGAGTGAGTGACATCTTAGTGTGGGTGAGTGAGTGACATCTTAGTGTGGGTGGAGTGAGTGAGTGACATCTTAGTGTGAGTGGAGTGAGGAAGTGACATCTACATGTGAGTGAAATGACACCTATAGTGTGGGTGTTATGAGGGACATCTTAGTGTGGTTGGAAACCCAGTTTGGATTAGCTCGATTCTGTGTTTGTGAAATATAAGTGCATGGTGGTGCCAAACCAAGGATAACGATGAGGGCAAATTCAGGAGTCCAGCCCGCGATCTTCACCCTGGCCCATCTTGCGACTCCATCATTTGGCCACCCAGTATAAAGGTTTGTAGAAAACAAAAACGTTTTCAGCTAAATTTAAACTTTTCAGTTTTCCTTAGTGGCAATACAGAGTGTTTTCATTTTGTTTGTTAGAATACATCATGACAACTGATGTTGACAATTGGCAAAGTGGGAAGTCCTTTCCAGAAACCAACCTGCACATGTTGGACAGTTTGTTGTTGGCTGATGTGACCTTCCTCGTTGGAGATCAAAGGGAGACAATCCAGGCTCACAAGTTCATTTTAGTTAGCCGCAGTAGCGTGTTTCACGCGATGTTCTGTGGATCGATCCCCGAGACGGGTCAAGTACTGATTCCTGATATACAGATAGACAACTTCAAGACCTTCCTAAGGTTAGTTGAGATGTTTTCATAACACATTTAAAGCGAACAGTAGAAGAAGTATAACACAACAGACTAAAATCAAATATATCAATGTTCATCTTAAAAAGTTCAAAAATCCTTAGCAAGCCTTGGAGTTTTTAACTTTAATTGACTTGTGTTGATATATCTGATATCAAAAGACACAAGTGTGATATTCTCTATGTAACATAAACATTTCATCCCCAGGTATCTCTACACGGATGAGGTGGAGGTAACTCCGAACACTGTCCTCGGGCTGATGTACGCTGCTAGGAAATACAACATCACAGGGCTAGAAAAGCAATGTGAGGAGTTTTGCTTACAATCTTTGTCGCCTAGCAACGCATGTTTATTCCTACAACAAGCAACCCTGTTTGATAAAGAAGACCTTAAAGAAAGAACTCTTAAAGTAATTAAATCCAATGCCGAGGTGAGTGTTGCAAGCGAGGGATTCCGCGAGCTAAGCAAGGAATGTCTGAAGTTAATACTGAAGGCAGATGACATGAGAGTTAACGAGATTTGCATCTTCCGATCTGTGATGTCGTGGGCAGAAGCTGAATGTAGACGTGAGGGAAGGGAGGTAACTCAAGAAGAGAAAAGAGAAGTGCTGGGAGAGTGTTTGTTTCTCATTCGCTTCCCAGCTATTCCAGAGGTGAAATTTGCCACAATTGTTTGTAATGAAGCTATTTTAAGTGATAACCATGCCTTGATGTTATTCCGAAAATACTCTATAGGCGACCTGGATATACAGCCATTCTGTGACAAATCTCGTGTGCCTCCTGTTTATAACTTGTCTCGCTTACCTCCTGACCAACAGTACCACCAAACCATTTACCTTGATAGATGTCGATGTGATGCGTTGTATATATCCTGTGATGCCAGTGTTCACCTGACCGGGCTGAGCATGTACGCTGGGAGCCTGGAAGACAGGGTATCTGTAGACATAGTTGTTACTGACAGTGATGACACAACCCTGCTGAAGCATCACCAGGACGTGGATGTGACAGAGGGACAACTCTCAGATGTGGTCATGTTCCCTTCACCTCTGACTGTTGACAAAAGAAAGAAGATAAAACTCAAAGTCACTAGGGAGGGCAATAAACATGATGTATATACGTGTATAATGAACAAACAGCCTTTGATGACACATGAAACATCAGGTGTTGTGTGGACACTGGATCACTGTAAGGAGAGTCAATCTAGCAACAGCCTAGACTATGGATTCATCAGTGGGGTTTTCTACAACGTGTAGCGTATTTATATAAGGCGGCTGAGAGACAACTCTCCTTCCAACTCTTCCGTCTATGTACGTCAGTAATGTTAACGGGTATAAATCACGGATAACAGCACATGAATGGTACATATATTTGACCATTGATGCTTAATTGTTTTTCACACGAGTCAACATGATTGTATTTACAAGTTCTATTTCCGAGGCAACATTACTTACGTGCCTACTAGGAGAAACAGGTTGCTAAGATCATGACATTTTGTGTATAGTGCTCCATCACTTTTACGTTGATGACAATAGTTTCAACACATTGATGACATACCTTCAGTAGCAAGAAGTTGTTTCAATTGAAAGCATAAACTGATACTTGTTTCAAACTGATACAAAGAGTAACCATGTATTTTAACCAAACAGGTCATTGAGCTCTTAGTAAAGGTGGACCAAGGGTTGACCTGTGATTGATTAGCTTTGCCACTGTGTTGGAATACGTTTGTAACCAGGATCCGGAATGTGTCCGATTGAAGGAATTGAGTATTCACCTATTTTGCTTTGCCACATATATGTTAGTTTGCCAGATTATATTTGTCAATTGTGTAAATATTGAGTAATTGTATGTTTTTGTTATAATTACATGTTCTTAATAGTGAAACTGAGTTGGGTCCTTCCTTTTGTCACTTGAGACACTGTGTCACTCGTAACATACTGATTGCATGTGAGTGAGTATGGTTTTACGCCACTTTTAGCAATACTAAAGCAATATCACGGCGGAGACACCAGAAATGGGCTTCACACATTGTACCCATGTCGGGAATCGAACCCGGTTGTTCGGCGTGACGAGCGGACGCTTTAATCAGTAGGCTACCCGACCGCCCCCGATTGCATGTCAGTGTATGTAGTAGTAGCTAAGGCCAATGATTGAATCAGACGAATATTGCATATATGAGCTCCAGATTCATATAGATTAAAGAGAACTACAGAGTTGTGCATTCAGCGATGTATGGCCTAGACTAGACCCGCCCTCTAACTTTAATCTCTGAACTTGAACTGCACTGTTCAAACACTTCTGAGATGATAAGCACCGCAATGAACCATCAAAAACGGTTAACATCATTACCGAACAACATCACATACCGTTAATCAGCCTCAGAACTTTTAATATATTTTTGTGGGTCTTGTTTGTAATTGGCACACGGTCAATTCTCTTCCCCACCCAAAAAATAGACACAAATAACAAACACACACTGTACGGCCCTTGCAGTACTAGCCGAAGGCCTTTAATTGTCTACACCATACACATTTCAGTGTCTATCGTATTCCTCCAGGAACCGACAAACCATCTCAGATCTCTTCCTCCAACGTCACAGTGACATGCATCTTACTGTAAGATGAATACTGTATATGGCGGGGAACACTTGATGCCCTACAGCAATCTCTGCTTGTTACAATTGGGAGCGATGTTTGGGTGTAGGTTCTAACAAAGGTATCGTGGCTGCCTAAAAGTAGGGCCGGGCCTGGACGTTAATATTGGCTAATTACTCCATTATCGACGACAATACGTCCATATTATTGATTCAGGATATATACATAACATTAATCAAAAATCACAAACCACAAACGTGTTACATAATTTAGTTACTGCGACTGAAACGCTTGGAAATCAGAAAGTCGAGCGGTCGGTGAGATGGCTGAGCTAGGTAACATGAAAAAGAAGAATCGTAAAACGAAATAGGATTATAAACGCATCAAATACTTTCAACTACAGTGATACACAATTCCATCTATCCGACAAAACTGAATCTATATACGAAATTGAAATGACATAAAACACGGCATTGTGCTCATATAAGCAAGGACGTTAGAGAAACCCATTTCATTTTTTTTGTCACTTCTCACATTCAGATGGGAATATCAAGCGTTCGGTCCGACTTGGCCAGGACAAAGTCTTGTCCACTACGCGTGTCCTTGCTGATGTCTGATTCAGTAAAAACGTTCCGTGGCTAAATGCCAAATTGGTGTCTTGAGTAGGTGCCGTTTAGGATACCACCAGCGTGACATCGACAGCCTTTGTATTTCGGTGAGACTGTAGATGTCACGTGACTTCAACCAGGAAGCAAGACGGGGGTAGTGTTGTCTTGAGGTGTTACACATACAGGTAAAGAAATCTTGCGTATATTTACATCAATGACTGTATATCGTGAAGTGTTCCAGGGACATGTACATACTTGTGTTCACCTAGATGCAACTCATTTAGGCCACAGGTCACTTTTAGCCAGTTAGTACTGATGATAGGAGTGGCAAATCGAAACTTGAGTATATGTCCCTGATTATCTCCCTTTGCTGTTCGCCTCGCAGCAATAGCGGAGCTCTCTATACTCATGTATACTGCCACCAGTTACAGCTCCCCGCTACGACACGGGACAACCATGCATGGACTTGAACTCGCTACCGACAATACTGGTGACGTCGAATACTCTTCCCCAGCTAAATACTTTTCTTTGTGTGTCAATTTGAATTTCTATTTCATTTCCACTATGATTTAATTGGTGTGGTAACAATGTAAGGGGGAGTCCTAAACCTCTTAAAAATTCATTATGGTATGGAATTCCCAAATGTACAGCCATACACAAGAGGGCCAATTTCAAGATTATTGTTATAGCCGTTACCAAACTGGTGACCGATTTTACTGGGAGTGTAACGAAGGTGTCACACGCTGGGAAGGAGCTTGTTTGTAACAGGCGATCAGACTCATCGTTTCTTTTTGTTGTTCAATACCGTACTTAGCAATATTAAAAACATATGACGACAGCCTGTAAATAATGAGACGGGACCAGATAATGCTCTGATTGATCTTGTGAGCAACGATCCACGCGGTCGGGGTACGACGACACGCAAAATCACATAGCTTGAACACCATATTCTCTCACACGCTTGCTTGGAACGTACCCACACTCAGATTCAGTGAGGTCTTTTATATAGGGGGTGTTACAAGATGCGTGCTAGTCGTATGTTAGCTTCAATTTACTTTCCTTAAAGTGCGAATTACAATGTAAGCATAATCATATTTACTCATTCTTAATGGAAGCAACATAATGGGTCAGTGATATGTATCTTAGCAACAGCTGAATCATTATTGACCGAAATAATTAGAGTGAGTGAGTGACATGTTAGTGTGGGTGGAGTGAGTGAATGACATCGTAGCGTGGGTGGAATGAGTGAGTGACATCTTAGTGTGGTTGGAGTGAGTGATCTCTTTGCGTTGGTGGAATGAGTGAGTGACATCTTAATGTGGGTGGAGTGAGTGACATCTTAGTGTGGGTGGAGTGAGTGACATCTTAGTGTTGGTGGAGTAAGTGACAACTTAGTGTGGGTGGAGTGAGTGACATGTTGGTGTGTCTGGAGTGAGTGAGTGGCATCTTAGTGGGTGGAGTAAGTGAATGACATCTTTATGTAGATTGAGTGAGTGAGTGACATCTTAGTGTGGGTGGAAAGAGTGAGTCGCATCTTAGTGGGTGGAGTAAGAGAGTGACATCTTAGTGTGGGTGGAAAGCGTGACATCTTAGTGTGGGTGGAAAGAGTGAGTGGCATCTTAGTGTGGGTGGAGTAAGTGAGTGACATCTTTATGTAGATTGAGTGAATGAGTGACATCTTAGTGTAGGTGGAGTGAGTGACATCTTAGTGTTGATGTAGTGAGTGAGTGACATCTTAGTGTTGGTGTAGTGAGTGAGTGACATCTTAGTGTTGGTGTAGTGAGTGACATCTTAGTGTTGGTGTAGTGAGTGAGTGACATCTAAGTGTTGTGGAGTGAGTGACATCTTAGTGTGGGTGGAGTGAGTGACATCTTAGTGTGGATGGAGTGAGTGACATCTTAGTGTGGGTGGAGTGAGTGACATCTTAGTGTGGGTGGAGTGAGTGACATCTTAGTGTGGGTTGAGTGAGTTACATCTTAGTGTGGATGGAGTGAGTGACATCTTAGTGTGGGTGGAGTGAGTGAGTGACATCATACTGTGGGCAGAGTGAGTGAGTGACATCTTAGTGTTGGATAAGGTCAATGTGGATGCGGTCGGTTTCCTTTTAGTGAAATGTAAGTGTATGGTGCTGTCAACCTAAGGATCGTGACCCACGATCAGCAGATTCTGATCCATAGTGATAAACCTTAAATCTTTTGGCCATTCAGGATTAAGCTTTAATGAAAAATACGTTTTCGGTTATAATAAAAGTTTTCAGTTTTACTGAGTTGGGATAGTGTGTTTTCATTTTGTTTGTTCAGACACATCATGGCTACTGATGTTGACAATTGGCAAAGTGGGAAGTCCTTCCCGGAAACCAACCTGCACATGTTGGACAGTTTGTTGTTGGCTGATGTGACTTTCCTCGTTGGAGATCAAAGGGAGACAATCCAGGCTCACAAGTTCATTTTAGTCAGCCGTAGCTGCGTGTTTCACGCGATGTTCTGTGGATCGATCCCCGAGACGGGCCAAGTGCTGATTCCCGATATACAGACAGACAACTTCAAGACCTTTCTGAGGTTAGTTGAGATGCTTTCATTACACATTTAAAACACACAGTAGAAGAAGGATGACACAGAAGACAATTTAGATTAATGGCTAATCATAACATAATCTCTACCATCAACAATATGCATATCGACATATATCGAACGGTTTTGTAAGCAAAACACTGTCCTTTTACAGCTGGTCACATGGCTTCTCGTATGTACTATGTCATGACATAATGTTATGCCCAAGTGAAGATGCGTGTTAGAATTGGTCTTCAGCAAACAATGCTTGTTGTAAGAGGCGACCGGGATCGGAGGGTCCGTCTCGTTGACTTGCTTGAAGCATGTCGTCATTTCCCACTGAGTAGGGGGCACGGGTGGCCCAGTCGTCTAAGGCGCCGCGATACGCTGAGCAGAATTGCGTCCCTTGGGCATGCCAGAAACCTATGATTGTGGGTTCGAATCCCGGTTTGCCCCGACTATGTTTCTAGTTTTTTCAGCACCATACCCATGCTCGTGGGTTTCACCGAAGTGGTAAACGTCTGAGACCTGCATCACTTCGGGCTTTCCTCCCACATTAAGCTGACACGACACAATATAACTGGAATATTGTTAAAAGCGGCGTTAAACCCAACTCACTCACTCACTATCCCACTGAGTAGATCGAAGCTCATGCTGTCAATCACTTGATTGTCTGCTTCAGACTCGATTATTTACAGACCGCCGTCACATTACTGGAATGCTGCTCAGTGCAGCGTTAAGCAACAAACAATCACCATTAGTTTGTATTCTCTGTCTCCCATCAGTCCCATCGGACTTAACGCCAGCGATGTGTGTTGATGACTCATTGACGAACTCGTGTTTCTGATGTGTCTAATTTACCTTCCATTTATTTCTGCTGTAATATTAAGTTATGTTCCTCATCTTTATAAGGTTTACTCCCTCGGTATTATTACACCAACACAATAACTTATGATTTACAAACTGGTTTAAGCTGATATAGCACAGTTTCTATTTAACAACAAGTAACATGATTTTATTATTTATGATCCAAACTACCTTCCACCAGAGATATCGCTTGAGTGAAATCAAGATATATCTCCTAAGGAATTTCGCCACAATAAAATTGCAACACAGTCAGGCTGGTTAGCTGCATTGTTTACATTCAAGACATTCGTTATTACTGTTTACAAACTATAAAAGTTGGTAGAATAATTTTGGGTGATTAACATAATCTCATCCCCCTGTCTTTTAAGATCAAATATATCAATGTCCATCAAAAAAAGTTTAATATCCTAGGCAAGCCTCGGAGGTTTTAGCTTTTATTGACTTGTGTTGATATATCTCATATAAAAAGACACAAGTGTGAGATACTCTATGTAACATTAACATTTCATCACCAGGTATCTCTACACGAGGGAGGTAGAGTTAACTCCTAACACTGTCCTTGGTCTGATGTACGCTGCTAGGAAATACAACATCACAGGACTGGAAAAGCAATGTGAGGAGTTCTGCTTACAATCGTTGTCGCCTAGCAACGCATGTTTATTCCTACAACAAGCGGACCTGTTTGGTAAAGAAGACCTGAAGCAAAGAGCTCTTCTGGTAATTAAATCCAAAGCCGAGGTGAGTGTTGCTAGCGAAGGATTCTGTGAGCTAAGCAAGGAATGTCTAAAGCTGATCCTGAAGACAGATGACATGAGAGTTGACGAGATTTGCATCTTCCGATCTGTGATGTCGTGGGCGGAAGCTGAATGTAGACGTCAGGGAAGGGAGGTAACTCCAGAAGAGAAAAGAGAAGTCCTAGGAGAATGTGTGTTTCTCATTCGTTTTCCATCTGTGTCAATGGTAAAATTTGCCACAACTGTCTGCAATGAAGGTATTTTAAGTGATGCCCATGCCTTGATGTTATTACGAAAATACGCCATAAGCGACCTGGATATACGGCCGTTTTGTGACATATCTCGTTTACCTCGTGTCTATAACTTGTCTCGTTTACCTCCTGACCAAGAGCCCCACGAGACTCACTACAGTAAATGTCGACGTGATGCGTTGTATATAACCTGTGATACCAGTGTTCACCTGACCGGGCTGAGCATGTATGCTGGGACGCTGGCGGACAAGGTGTCTGTAGACATAGTTGTTACTGACAGTGATAACAAAACCCTGCTGAAGCACCACCTGTACGTGGATGTGACAGAGGGACAACTGTCAGATGTGGTGATGTTCCCTTCACCTCTGACTGTTGACAAAAGAAAGAAGATAAAAATCAAAGTCACTAGGGAGGGCAATAAACATAATGTATATACGTGTATAATGAACAAACAGCCTTTGATGCCACAGGAAACATCAGGTGTTGTGTGGACACTGGAGCACTGTAAGGAGAGTTCTTCTGATAACAGCCTAGAATATGGATTTATCAGTGGGGTTTTCTACACCGTGTAGCGTATTTATATAAGGTGGCTGAGAGACAACTCTCCTTCCAACTCTTCCGTCTATACACGTCAGTAATGTTAACAGGTATTAATCACGGACAGCAGCACACATATATTTGACCACTGATGCTTAATTCTTTTTCACACGAGTCGACATGACTGTATTTACAAGTTCTATTTCCGAGGCAACTTTACTTACGTGCCTACTAGGAGAAACAGGTTGCTAAGATCATGACATTTTCTGTATAGTGCTCCATCACTTTTACGTTGATGACAATATTATCAGCAGCTTGATGACATACCTTCAGTAGCAAGATGTTTCGATTGAATGCATAAACTGATACTTGTTTTTGAGTATTATTTATATAGAACAAAGAGTAACCATGTATTTTAACCAAACAGGTTATTGAGCTTACAGTAAAGGTGGACCAAGGGTTGACCTGTGATTGATTAGCTTTGCCACTGTGTTGGAATACGTTTGTGACCAGGATCAGGAATGTGTTCGATTGGAGGAATTGAGTATTTACCTATTTTGCTTTGCCACATATATGTTAGTTTGCCAGATTATATTTGTCAATTGTGTAAATATTGAGTAATTGTATGTTTTGGTTATAATTACATGTTCTTAATAGTGAAACTGAGTTGGGTCCTTCCTTTTGTCACTTGAGACACTGTGTCACTCGTAACATACTGATTGCATGTGAGTGAGTATGGTTTTACGCTACTTTTAGCAATATTAAAGCAATATCACGGCGGAGACACCAGAAATGGGCTTCACTCATTGTACCCATGTCGGGAATTGAACCCGGGTCTTCGGCGTGACGAGCGGACGCTTTAACCAGTAGGCTACCCGACCTCCCCTGATGTCAATGTATGTAGTAGTAGCTAAGGCCAATGATTGAATTAGACGAATATTGCATATATGAGCTACAGATTCATATAGATTAAAGAGAACTACAGAGTTGTGCATTCAGCGATATATGGCCTAGACTAGACCCGCCCTCTAACTTGAATCTCTGTATTTGAACTGCACTGTCCAAAAACTTCTGAGATGATAAGCACCGCAATGAACCATCAAAAACGGTTAACATCATTACCGAACAACATAACATACCGTTAATCAGCCTCAGAACTTTTTATATATTTTGTGGGTCTTGTTTGTAATTGGCACACGGTCAATTCTCTTCCCCACCCACAAAATAGACACAAATAACAAACACACACTGTACGGCCCTTGCAGTACAAGCCGAAGGCCTTTAATTGTCTACACAATACACATTTCATTGTCTGTCGTATTCCTCCAGGAACCGAGAAAGACCATCTCAGATCTCTTGCTTCAACGTCATAGTGACATGCATCTTACTGTAAGATGGATTCTTGGATTCCTGGTTCCATTAGTGTATATATTGGTCCACGCTGTCCCAGGTAGTGTGAATTATAGTGATAGCTACTTGGTGACTTCTGATGTTAAAGCTGTGTCAAGTTTGGAAGTTTTGAAAGTCCATTGAGGGTGAATACTGTATATGGTGGGGAACACTTGATGCCCTGCAGGAATCTCTGCTTGTTACAATTAGGAGCGACTTTTGGGTGTAGGTTCTAACAAAGGTATCGTGGCTGCCTAATAGTCGGAACGGGTGAAGACGTTAATATTGGCTAATTACTCAATTATCGACGACAATACGTACATATTATTGATTCAGGATATACACATATTAACATTAATCAACAATCACAAACCACAAACGTGTAACATAATTTAGTTACTGCGACTAAAACGCTTGGAAATCAGGAAGTCGAGCCGTCGGTTAGAGGGCTGAGCTAGGTAACATGAAAAAGAATAGTCTTAAAACGAAATAGGATTTTAAACGTATCAAATACTTTCAACTACAGTGATACACAATTCCATCTATCCGACAAAACTGAATCTAACTATATACGAAATTGAAATGACATAAGACACCGCATTGTGCTCATATAAGCAAGGAAGTTAAAGTAACCCATTTCATTTTTCTCTCACTTCTCAGTGCATTCAGATGGGAATATCAAGCGTTCGGTCCGACTTGGCCCGGACAAAGTCTTGTCCACAACGCGTGTCCTTGCTGATGTCTGATTCAGTAAAAGATTTCCGTGGCTAAATGCCAAATTGGTGTCATCGTGACATCGACAGCCTTTGTATTTCGGTGAGACTGTAGATGTCACGTGACTTCAACCAGGAAGCAAGACGGGAGTAGTGCTGTATTGAGGGTGTTACACATACAGGTAAAGTTGTCTTGCGTATATTTACATCAATGATTGTATATCGTGAAGTGTTCCAGGGACATGTACATACTTGTGTTCACCCAGATGCAGCTCATTTAGGCCGCAGGTCACTTTTAGCCAGTTAGTACTGATGAACGCAGTGGCAAATCGAAACTTGAAGTCCTAATGTCTGTCCCTGATTATCTCCCTTTGCTGTTCGCCTCACAGCAATAGCGGAGCTCTCAAAACTCGTGTGTACTGTCGCTGCCACCAGTTACAGCTCACCACTGCGACACGGGACAACCATGCATGGACTTGAACTAACTACAGACAATAGTGATGACGTCGAATACTCTTCCCCAGCAAAATACTATTTCTTGTTCGTCAATTTGAATTTCTATTTCATTTCCACTATCATGTTATTGGTGTGGTAAGAATGTAAGGGGGAGTGCTAAACCTTTTCAAAATTAATTATGGTATAGAATTCCCAAATTTACAGCCATACACAAGAGGGCGAATTTCAAGATTCTTGTCACAGCCGCTTCCAAACTGGTGAACGATTTTACTGGGCGTGCAACGAAGGTGTCACCCGCTGGGAAGGAGGTTGATCGTAACAGGCGATGACACTCATCGTTTGTTTTTGTTGTTCAATACCGTACTCAGCAATATTTAAAACGTTTGCTCACACGTTTGCTTTGAACGTAGCCACACTCAAATTCAGTGAGGTCTTCTGTATAGGGAGGTGTTACAAGATACGTGCTAATCGTTTTCCAGAAAGCGGAAATTAAAAAAATATGTTAGCTTCAATTAACTTTCCTTAAAGTTTGAATTACAATGTAAGCATAATCATATTTACTCATTCTAAATGGAAGTAACAAAATGGGCCAGTGATATGTATCTTAGCAACAGCTGAATCATTATGGAACGTAATTATTAGAGTGAGTGAGTGACATGTTAGTGTGGGTGGAGTGAATGATATCTTGGTGTGGGTGGAGTGAGTGAGTGATATCTTTGCGAGGGTGGAGTGAGTGAGTGAAATCTTAGTATGGATGGAGTGAGTGACATCTTAGTGTGGGTGGAGTGAGTGATACCTTAGTGTGCGTGGAATGAGTGACATATTAGTGTGGGTGGAGTGAGTGACATCTGAGTGTCGGTAGAGTGAGTGACATCTCAGTGTTGGTGGAGTGAGGCAGTGACATCTTTGCGTAGGTGGAATGAGTGAGTGACATCTTAGCGTGAGTGAAATGAGTGAGTGATATCTTAGTGTGGGTGGAGTGAGTGAGTGACATCTTAGAGTGGGTGGAGTGAGTGAGTGACATCTTAGCGTGGGTGGAGTTAGTGACTGACATCTTAGTGTGTGTGGAGTGAGTGACATCTTAGTGTTGGTGGAGTGAGTGAGTGCCATTTTAGTGTGGTTGGAGTGAAGAAGTGACATCTTAGTATGGATGGAGTGAGTGAAATCTTAGTGTGGGTGGAGTGAGTGATATCTTAGTGTGCGTGGAATGAGTGACATCTTAGTGTGGGTGGAGTGAGTGACATCTGAGTGTGGGTAGAGTGAGTGACATCTTAGTGTTGGTGGAGTGAGTCAGTGACATCTTTGCGTAGGTGGAATGAGTGAGTGACATCTTAGCGTGAGTGAAATGAGTGAGTGATATCTTAGTGTGGGTGGAGTGAGTGAGTGACATCTTAGAGTGGGTGGAGTGAGTGAGTGACATCTTAGCGTGGGTGGAGTTAGTGACTGACATCTTAGTGTGTGTGGAGTGAGTGACATCTTAGTGTTGGTGGAGTGAGTGAGTGCCATCTTAGTGTGGTTGGAGTGAGGAAGTGACATCTACGTGTGAGTGAAATGAGTGAGTGACACCTATAGTGTGGTTGGAGTGAATGATATCGTAGTGTGGGTGGAGTTAGTGAGTGATATCAAAGTGTGGGTGGAGTGAGTGAGTAACATCTTAGCGTAGAGGGAATGAGTGAGTGACATCTTAGTGTGGTTGGAGTGAGTGATATCTTAGTGTGGGTGGAGTGAATGAGTGATATCTTTGCGTGGATGGAATGAGTGAGTGACATCTTAGTGTGGGTGGAGTGAGTCAGTGACATCTTTGCGTAGGTGGAATAAGTGAGTGACATCTTAGCGTGAGTGAAATGAGTGAGTGATGTCTTAGTGTGGGTGGAGTGAGTGAGTGACATTTTTGTGTGGGTGGAGTGAATGATGTCTTAGCGTAGGTGGAGTGAGTGAGTGACATCTTAGCGTGGGTGGAGTGAGTGACATCTTTCTTAGCGTGGGTGGAGTGAGTGATATCTTAGCGTAGGTGGAGTGAGTGAGTGACATCTTAGTGTGGGTGGAGTGAGGAAGTGACATCTTAGCGTGGGTGAGTGAGTGACATCTTATAGTGGGTGGAGTGAGGAAGTGACATCTACGTGTGGGTGTTATGAGTGACATCTGAGTGTGGTTGGAAGCCCAGTTTGGATTAGGTCGATTCTGTGTTTGTGAAACAAAAGTGCATGGTGGTGTCAAACCAAGGATAACGATGAGGGCAAATTCGGGAGTCCAGCCCGCGATCTTCACCCTGGCCCATATTGCGACTCCATCATTTGGCCACCCAGTATAAAGGTTTTTATAAAACAAAAACGTTTTCAGTTGAATTTAAACTTTTCAGTTTTCCTCCGTGGGAATATAGAGTGTTTCATTTTGTTTGTTCAGGCACATCATGACAACTGATGTTGACAATTGGCAAAGTGGGAAGTCCTTCCCAGAAACCAACCAGCACATGTTGGACAGTTTGTTGTTGGCTGATGTGGCCTTCCTCGTTGGAGATCAAAGGGAGACAATCCAGGCTCACAAGTTCATTTTAGTCAGCCGCAGTTGCGTTTTTCACGCGATGTTCTGTGGATCGATCCCTGAAACAGACCAAGTACTGATTCCTGATATACAGACAGACAACTTCAAGGCCTTCCTAAGGTTAGTTGAGATGTTTTCATAACAAATTTAAAGCAAACAGTAGAAGAAGTATAACACAAAAGACTAAAATCAAATGTATCAATGTTCATCTTTAAAAGTTTAAACATCCTCGGCAAGCCTTGGAGTTTTTAACTTTAATTGACTTGTGTTGATATATCTGATATCAAAAGACACAAGTGTGAGATTCTCTATGTAACATTAACATTTTATCACCAGGTATCTCTACACGGATGAGGTGGAGTTAACTCCTAACACTGTTCTTGGTCTGATGTACGCCGCTGGGAAATACAATATCACAGGGCTAGAAAAGCAATGTGAGGAGTTCTGCTTACAATCTTTGTCGCCTAGCAACGCATGTTTATTCCTACAACAAGCAGACCTGTTTGATAAAGAAGACCTGAAAGAAAGAGCTCTTAAGGTAATTAAATCCAATGCCGAGGTGAGTGT